TGTTTTTCGAGGCGGCCCCGAATCGCCTCCCAGATACTTCCCATTCACTCGAATGCAAGCTTTTGGCCAAGTCGATGGGCAGGATACCAACTGCACCCACAGACTCTCCACACACGTATGTGTGGATCGCCTGCGAGAAACAGAGGATCGACTCAGCATAGCAGAAGCAAGGAGTCCATCCCCTGAATCCACCTGCGTCTCTGGGCAAGTACCACTGAGTTTTGGTCGACGACTACATCCCCTATCCACCACCTGGAAACGTCCTACGTAGCCTCGTCACTAACCGGCTGGGGATCCTTCAGTGAGAGAGAGTTCAGCGAAGAAATCCGTAGAAACTGAAGAGTAGTAAGAAAAAATTATTTTATTATCGATTACTATTATTATAATTGACCGACTTTAAAATAGCTGACAAACTTTCCGAAAACCTGCTGTAATGTAAATTATTCACAAGACAATTCGTGCAATTAAGCAACTGGTCTTACAAGACAAGTTGTCCTTAAACTGCCCTACTGAATCGAAAGACTTTTTTAAGGCTCTTGCTATTCAAGCCTGCTTGCCGGTGCTCTACTTAGGCGGCATTGTCGTCAATATGGTCAGACTCCTGAACATCTATGATCATCCTATTATGGAATACTCTTTCGTCTATCTGTTTGTACCTATTCCTGCAATAAACCCCCTGGTGTCGTTATATCTCGTAGGCCCCTATCGTGTATGGATGCGCGATAAGTTTCTGAAGTGGAAGCAGTCAACTGCGAAAGAAACAGTCGTAACTACCGCTACAGCACCCCTTCAGAGAGGAATAGTTGCACCGATGCAATTGCAATCACTACATCCAGGAAGTGTTTTTTCTTCATACATAAGCAACCGATACAATTAAAAGTGATCCTGTCGCAGCTACGATTAATGGATCCAATCCCTGCCGGTCAAGCAGGGCTCTCACGTTTCCGAAGTTAATTGCCCTGTTCTAAAGACTTCTGGAACTTAGTTCGGGGTCTAGTAAACTTGGACTAAGCGTTTGGCGAGGATCTCACAGAAGGAAATGCTCGGTTAACAGAGGACGAACCAAATTCAAACCCGCCTCTCCCTCACAAGCTTGTTAATTCTAGTCTATGTCCCGCATACTGTAGGAGAGGTTCAGCTCAGCCTATGTGTACTACGAACATCTTCGAGTGCTTAACTCATCCCAACGTTGACCGCCCCTACCTGGTGGATTCTTCGAATAACATACATACAATATACACACGGATACACAAAAACAGACATGCTTGGCGCTTCATGTTTAGTTTACTAACTAAGTCAACCTTTCAGTCAATACCATCGAGAGTAATTTCCGGCTGTACGACAATAAATTCATTTGGAGCCCTCCCCACTAGCCACTGAATAAACAGAACAGGTTGTTCGTACATGAAATGTTATTTTCAATTATCTCTGATGCAAGTAATTAGAAATGTTTGTTGTACTAGTATAAAAATGATGTCATGAGCATTGCAATAAATGCAAGTATCGCTGTTCGTTCATACGCCTTCGTATAAACAAATTTTCTCCAGAAAATCCCTATTTATTCTCCTTTTATGTACTAGGACAGGTTGGAAATAGACACCACGGAAATAAGACACGGAGGGCTTACGCCCAGTCTTTCGGACTTATGAGCTTTCAGCGCTCTTGAGTCGTTCGTCTATCTTAGGCGAGTGATTACTGAGTAGTAGAGGCTCATCAAGGAGAACCGCATCGTCATTCACTCATTCAAGCGACTCGCATAGGCCTAGCTTGTCCTCACCTAAGCTCATATCCTATCGAGCTTCAACAAGATAGGCATACTATCAATGGATACTCGACCTAGAAACACTTCATATTTACGTTTCTCCAGACGACCTTTGCAATGATCTTCGAGGTGGTCGGACATTTGAGAGGCTTTTTGGTCATCCGTACAAGGTGAACAAAAGTAACGTAAGAAGCTCACGTAAGGGTAAAATTGGTGTAATGGCAAGAGGCGCTACTGCCGGAGACAGTCCGTGGTCCAAGTCACGATCACTGCTGAACGATTCCACTTTGAAGACGCGCTTATTGATCTTCGAACTTTTTGGGGAACTTTCTAGGGGACCTTCAGTATCATTGGTAATAACAATGGAGCATATGTATAAATGATCACCCTTTCAGTATTTACTTCGCTGGTGATCACTTCCAACTATTGCATTCCCATTAAACCTTAACGTGGAAAAATCGAAGTCTAATGAATCCATTTCTAAAGAATCTGATTTGTGCAAATATCATGGAAGCGAGTGGTAAACCATAGAGAATTAACAAAGACGTCACGTTTTATTTTGTATTAAATTTGAAAACACGCCAAATTTGGATATAGGGTTTCTCCTACTTTTCACTTACCTTCCTTCAAGTGGAACTGCTTTTTACCGTGAAAAAGGTGACGAATACGCCTACCAGACGCGAACTTAAGAGAACGCCGACTCGTCAACAAACATTTTGAATTATATCACCTTCATCGGAATAGAGGAGAACATTTCCAGATGACCACGAGAGCTTCCTGGTTGGAAGTGACGATGACTGGGACTCACTCGCATCTGATTACTCTTAAAACGGGAAGGAAGTGCTTGGCAGTGAGGAAGGCTTTGTAACAAAATTGCATGATTTCAATTGGTTAGCGATGACCTAGAACTGCATCTCCTCTGATCTCCTAATCATCCATCACTTCATTTTCAAGTTTCGAGAGCTATACGACTAGATGGACTGGGATCCTCCTGCAACAGCAGCAGTGCGTTCATGACCTGTGAATGTTTTCGTGATGGCCGACGCAATCTCAACTGTTAGCAATACTCCCATACAAATTGACTCTTGATTGTATCGACTTGTTATTGTTTGGACTTACAGTTGATTTCGGCCAACTTCGTATCCGTAACTACAAAAAAGTCTTCAAATGGACGAGGAAGAAAAGGCTCAGGCTAGTTTTTAACTCCCTTCATCTTTCTAATCAAATTACCCTCGTCCACCCTGAAGAATTCCAACGTTTCAGACAAGACTGAATGCGAATTACTGTCTTCTGGGATTCTTGAATTTTTAGAATTAATTAACTAAACTGAGTACACCCAAGCAATTGGGAATATAAATAAATTTCAGTGGAAGCTGACCCATGCCTCTTGTTTAGATAAGCAATGTATGTTGCTTCACTCGTTGACAGCAACCATTTCCCAGTTGCCGCTTGTTTGGGGAGTGACTAAGTACATAGTCCTGTAGATCGAATTCCTAAATTACAGTAGATCTCGACATCTAAGAGCGTGGGACCACATTTACCGTTTCCATCAATATCCACACTGTAGAACCACCCACTTTGGTCTTTCTACTCATCAAACAATGTCGTGACGTGATCGCAACGTGATTTTCTTGAAATTGTCGTAGTTCATATTCCCTCCGCTATTCAGGAAATGATTTGGGTTTGGTGGATCAGCAATTCAGTAAACATAATTATAAACGCTATTGGGATCATCGGCAACTCTATTCTGATATACATGGTACTGAAAAGAACTCCGACACAACTGATCTCTTACTCCGTTCTTATTTTCAACACTGCTCTCTGTGATCTGTTAGCCTGCATTACCACCGTGTTTATTCTTCAGAGGTACGACTCGCGCTTACATTTTGCGCTCAAGCACGTGCAAAAAAACTCATTCTTATTCTCCAACTTCTCCCTTTCTCTAACCTCGGCATAGTGGTTGGCGATTGGAATATTCTTTTCGACGCAATCACCTTTTTCAGAGGCCTGTATGCAACTCGAGATTAGTTGCACAGCGTCCGAAAGCGCACGATCCCCCCTGGCGAGTATGCGACGAATTCAAAACCCACAATTTGAAGCATAACTCATAAAGCTTAGATCGCACAAGCGTACAAAAAATACGCCGTCGCCATAGTCGACTGTCAGTAGCGAATGAGACTTCTCGCTATCCCCTTGCACTTATGAAAACGAAGATCACGTGTAGTACTACCGAGTCACAACTCGCAGTACGGTTTAAATGGCAAAAGATCATTCATTGTTCATGGACAGACATGCATCTCTACTATCCAATCAGGGATTTCTTTGAGAAATCCAAAACGCCCCTATTGCCTTTTCCGAAGAAATCTCCGTCTTCTGCGCCAACACCGTGTACATTATTTCACAGTTGTTGCTATTCCGCTTCTCAGTTTTATGATCAGCAATCACCGCCACAGGCAGAGGTGGTATAGTAGCAAGTGGCGCACTATATCACGCGCACGGTCAGGGGTTCGAACCCTGGATCGATGTCCGCCTAGGCCAACCAGGCCCTCCATCCCTCCGTGGTCGGTTAATTGGTACTAGGCTCGTCTGGGAGGATAAAAGCACTGACTTGTACATCGGCTGGCCACCGCAAGTCATTGTTTAGACCACATACGCACTCATTACGCCACTACGATTCTGAATGGAAGTCGAGTGCAGGCGCAAATCCCTCAGACGGGATTGATTAACGCCAAAAACTTTATCCTTTCTATCACCGCCACCAGACTGCCGCGCCTCACACTGGCTCGGTGTTCTTTAAAGGTATCGTTCACGTTGAAAATGGTTTCTGTGATTTCTCCCTAGAATGAACCCATGACCCCAATGATCTTTGAAAAAAGAAGCGAAGCA